TCAACTTCGAAGTTCAATAGCTTTTAATAACGGTGAAAAAGTTTATCATCAGCCATTTTCACTTTGCAAGTCACTGATTATTAGCATCCTCACTCAAATTGTTCTTCCTCATCTAGAAAATCCTCAGAGATTTTCTAGAAAGTAGAAAATAATCCGACTTTTTGATTTTCGAAAAGTCCATATATAAAATCCCTGAGGATTTTCTATAAATAATTCCCAAGAATGTATTGGAAATTCGATTTTCTATAATCTAGAAAATCCGTGAGGATTTCATATATGGACTTTTTGAAAATCGCCGAGCATTTTCTATAAATAATTCCCGACTTTACAGTGTAGCAGTCTGAAGTCCTTTATGAGTAGAGAAAAGCGTAGCTATACATTTATCTCTATTAAAATGAAGCTTCCAAGTCACTGACCAATTACGAATGATGACTAAGTCCTTGTTTATGTGATCCACAGCACTGGATAAGCCATTCGTTTTTGTAATGCAATACAGAGATACATCATCAGCAAAGAGTTTCATAGTGGAGTTAATATCATCAGCGATATCATCAATAAATATTAAAAACAACAATGGCCTCAGGACCGAGCCCTGGGGCACCCCTCGATTAATTCTCCTCGTCGATCATATCACACCCTGCAATGTAGCTACAATTTCCTGCTTAGCCGGATGACTGGCAAACCAATTAATAAGTGATTGTGGAATTCTCTTAGTTTTCAGTTCTAATAGCAAGCCCTTGTACCATACAGTATCAAATGCGTTGTTGAAATCAAGGAACGTAGTCAACACAGGCTCGTTTTGATCAACCGCTATCAGCGGCTCATGTATTATGGATAGTGGTTGATTGATAGTAAAATCATTCTTCTGAAACTCAGACTGTTTTTTATTCAGAAGTTCGTAATTCACAAGGTACCCTTACGACTCATTAAAAAGAAAAGTAATAATAAGTTATAAGTTAATCAGTCGCTAATAATTGAACAGTTTCCGAAGTCTTGGAAAGTTGGATATGTTACTGCGATATTTAAATCAGGGGACTGTCATAGTCTAAGTAATTACAGACCAATTACATTACATCCGATTTTATCAAAAATTTTAGAACGTATTGTACATCGCAAAGTGCATGAGTATCTCGTGATTTAAGGATTAAAATGATTTAAATGCACTGCGGTTAGTGACCTCTTATTGGTACAATAAAAGAAACAACGCTTGTGCCGAGACCTCTGTTTATATCTTTCGGTGTATACTGACAGAAAAAATATATAGTCTAGGGCTTCAATAGATTTCTATAAAAAGATTTCAAAGCATGAACTAGTTTCAAAGATCTTTTGAAAAGGGGGTTTTTGAAAACAATTTTCAGAATGATCCTGCTTGCAGAAACATACTTAGTTTATTACGTGCCAGTTGACTTAACATTCTTAGACCGCCATTATCATGTGTTAGTTTGTGCGCAGTTCGCTGCAAGAAAGTGTTCGAAGGAATTGGATTGATAAGAATAAGAAATGACAGAGAAAAGGAGCAGAGGGCTCAATGTTGACTTTTATCACTCACTATTTTTGCTTTCTTTTTGTATAAACATCCACTGTTCCTGAACTTCTAAAATGCAGCTGTTTCGTTCTTTTATTTACAAACTAAATATAAATAGTCTCTCTAACATCCCAAAATTATTCTAGTTTATTCTTTAACGGTTGGTTTAGTCCGCGTACCTTGACTTGGTAATTTTGATTGTTTCAAACGTCTTTCAAATAATTTTCTCCAGGTTGTTGTTGTACCAGGTTTAATATCATCTAAATGAATTTTAATAATTGGAATTAGAGTTAAACCAAGATTTTGTGCTGCTAATAAACGTCGATTATCAAATGAGACTAATTGTCCATCGATATTTGCAACTTTTAAAGCTGTTGAATTCTGATGCTCATCTGGTAATTTATTCCAATTCCATGTACCATCTTTCATTGCTTGTTCATACTCATAAACCAATGGTGATACTGTTTGCTGTGAATAATTAAGAAGATGCGGAGAAATCAATTCACATAAAACTAATGGCCGATATTCAGTGACTGGTTCTTGGATAACATTACATGTTGTAAGTGTAACTGGAGAGCACAATGTATATTGTTCTAATTTTTTAATATTTTGATTTAGCTTTTCAATACAAGGTTTTAAAGTATTTTCTTCATATTTTAATAGAGAAATTATTCACGAATCACTCAGGCATGCTGTAGAGCGAGTTTACAGAGAACTTGGTTAAAACAAACATAGACAGCAGCGTCTTATCTACAAGATTTTGCATAGGGAATGATCGGTATTGTCTAAGCACTTTTCATTTCAAGATTTTGTATAATTTTTTCAAATTCTTCCAATGTTTGTTTTTGTAATAACTTGATCTTACTTATTGAATTTTTGCATGTTTCATTAATTTTATTAATCATATCATTTTGCCATTGATTTAATTGTTGGTATAAATGATCATAATGTTGATCAATAGTTAACCAATATAAACTTACATGTAATGCAACTTTATCATAAGCCGAGGTTTTTTTGCTGTCTGCCATTTTCAGTGCGAAATTTCGACTATTGATCTATTCCGTTTCAAATAAATAGCTTATAACAAGCTTCGATTTAAATAAACTTGGTAGTTATCTTGTTCTTTTTTCCTTTTCTTTACCAGTGTGGGTTTCTTCCCTTGCAATGCAATGACTCATTTTACTGTTTGAAGGAAAGAAAGCATGTCTAAACAGCAGATACGTTTTATATAAAATGAACGGAATTAAAAGTGAACGAACCATTGTGTGTCTTCAAAAGGAAATGGAACCATGTCTGTTTCTATGAAACTTATTAAAAAATGCTTAATTTTATCGTTTTGGTCACATTAGCGAGTGTATGAAAAACTAGCATTCAATATCATATAGAATTTTCTCTTCGTGCTTGACTTAATAATATGTCTTTTATAGTTTGTCTCTGTTCTTCTGTGAAGCTCGAATGACAGGAGCCAGTTTTGCAATTTTCTGAACTTCGAATCCACACCGTAGATAAACGTAAGCTTCCGAAGAGCTTTAAATTCAGTTTTTATTTCCCACACGACTAATAACATCGGAAAATTTAACTTTCTTATTTGGCTGCCGTTCTTTAGAAATCATAATTTCCGGGAGCTGTCCAAACATGACAGCGACACATACCTGAATGTGAACCGCTTTTTATATCTGACAAAAGATCACCATACAGCGTGAGAAAACTTATTGATGAGACCTAATATCTGTATTTACAAATTGCGAGGAATGTGAAGAACGATTTCGAAAATAGAACTCGTTGAAGCCTCAGCCAGTTCGCAAATCCACTTCGTTGTGGACACATGAATTCACAGAAAGGGGCTTGGCCAGATTACTAAGCGTAAGTACGATTTCGTAAGACATAGTTGGTAGGCTGTTTCTGTTTTACTAATTGCACATTGCAATTACTTCGTACGTTAAAAATACAAAGTTGCACGTGAGTAACTATGCTAAGTATAAAAATTTAGAAGTCTTTTAGCGTCTCTTTTGGTCAATACTCTACTCTATCGTGTATTTTTAACGTATACCCATAATTTACAAAATTAATGAAAAAATGCATGACAACCGACAGAAAAGCAATTATTTCTCCATGGGTTTTTATGTGATAAAATGTGGATGTAGCTAGAAGATAGAGCGAAGTCAGGGCTATATAATGGCTGATTCAGGTTTTCTTACTTTCAAAACGTTATTAGACAAATGACGGATGATTATTGGTCCAGTTTCAACACAAACCATAACTGATAGATGATGAGAATCGATTAACTCTTGAATCTCAGGTAATCGAGATCAAATGTCCTGTACATTATACAGTACGGTATTGAAAGGTTGTGATTCTTGATTTGTGGGTTAATATGTGATTCTTCTCGATCAACTGTGTCATTAGTACTCTCCGGTATTCCATAAGAGCGGGACATAGACTATCATGGTACATGTGAGAACCTGCAGTGCATTTCAGCAGAGTATTTATGCTCTTTTTCAAGATACAATTGGTCTGCACATACTTTACATGGATCAACTTTTTTTTACAGGCAGACTGAAAATGACCGAACCCATGACAACGGATACAGAAAAGAGTTTTTAGTGTGTTCAAATGTTGTTTAACAGCCAGTTCCATATTTTGGACAAACAGTCTAGCTTGGTCTTTATCGAATTTTTTTATAAGACTAGTAGTTAAAAAGCTATTGGTTTATAAGCGTCAAAGAAATTACAAGAAGAAAGGAAAATGTGGAATTGTTCATAGACACTGAATCAGACGGCTGTCAAAAATGTAAGAAAAGGAAGAAATTTATCATTAGCTGGCAATTGGCAGAAATTGCGCTGGTACACTCTGAGTGCCCTAGTTACAATTGACATCGGTCAACCGACCAATCATAAATTGCTTAGCACCCTTACTATGTTGACAGATCACCGTGAATTACGTTCTTATTTCTGCAAAGCTTAATCAAGAAAGTCAGATTCCATCCAAATAATTTTTACTTATATGACTTAATGTCACACCTGAATGTAAACGCTTTTCTCGGTTACCGACTGTTATCAACACCGCTCTGATTGGTAGTTGTTTCTCATACCGGATAAGGCTTATCCTAAAACTGAGAGACTATTTTCGAAGGGCTTAAAAGCCATCTGGTCAAAAAGCATAATATGGTAGAATTAAGACTATCAACAATACAAAAGAAAATTCTGGTTGTGTATTATGGTTGGAAGAAAAATGTAGATTACATCGGTCATGTGTTGAATATATCATACACGACGGAAGAAAATCATTCGGGAATTTATTTAAATCTGGAATATAACTTTTGCTTCAATATCTGGTATCAGGTATTATCCTGATTCACTAATTCCTCGAGAAAGAACGAACAAATCCTGACGCACATATTAGACTAATTTCTACTTTTGTTCTAAAATAGATGATCTGTTAGTTTCTTAGTATTCGCGAAACGCTGCAGAAAGGGAGAAAAAAAAGAAAATTTACTGAAGAAAAAGCTTAGACGTTTTAAAATTCATCATTCAGTCAAATTGATCTTGGAATTAAAAAAATATCAAATCGATCAATATGACGGCATATTTTTGGTTGAGTAAATTGATCATTTTTGATCATTACTGACATCTCTCTACCGCTCATGGTTCGTGACTTATTGAAAAGATATCTACGGTCAATGATTTTTGGAACGGACATGCTTACGTTTGATTCTGCTATATACATCTATTGTTCATTATCTTATCTTCTTATCTATTTTCGTTCAACACAATAAACATACAACATAACGTTTCTTTTATCACATATGCATGCACTCATGCGTCTTTAGCATACGGCCAGCAATATAAAATAAATAACTTGAGAAGAAGAGGAACAGGCTGAGCAGTTACCAGAATTACTCATAAGATCTTATTTCTGATTATTTTTTCCCATTTTAATTTTCTTCTGCTTCTTTATAATGATAAATTCTAATTGAATGTAAAAAATAAGCTATTTTAAAGGGTATCAAACTTTTTTATCACCGGATATATTCATTGCAAAATGCTTACCAAAAAATAAGACTTTTGATCACCAAATCAATTAAAGAAAATATATACAAGAAGAACATACAGCAATTTAATACCAAATTAATTAGCGGACAGTACGTATATACAAGAAGAATATGTATAGGAAAAACTAATCACCAAACAAATTAAAGAAAATTTAAATTAAAGAAAAAATATTACAAGAAAAAACTAATTTTATGACAACAAAGCCGTACGAACCTTTTTTCGGACGGCCTTACCTTTTCTCTTACCCAATGGTTCACAACGCGTTTTGTCCATGACCTAGTACATGTTGAATAATATGCCTAATCCAACTGAATGTTTGTCGCTATATTGCTTGAGGCCAGTTGGACACGTATACAATGTAAGCGGTGGCACTAACGAACATGATGTCAGTCATGCCACAAAATCGTCAAATAATGCCCGCTGATCAGAGCGATACAAATCCAACATGTACCTACAAACATTCAGTTGGATTAGGCATTTTATTCAACATGTACCAGGTCATGGACAAAACGCGTTGTGAACCATTGGGTAAGAGAAAAGGTAAAGATCGTCCGGAAAAGGTTCGTACCGCTTTGTTGCCATAAAATTAGTTTTTTCTTGTATATTTTTTCTTTAATTTGTTTGGTGATTAGTTTTTTCTATATATATTTTTCTTGTATATACTATTCAATAATTAATTTGCTATTAAAATGCTGGTTCGTTAAAATGGCCCGTTAACGTCCAGTAAACGGTTGCACATAAAACGCCGCGTTAGCGTTCCCGAAACGGCCAGTAAACAAGCCGTTAACTTGACGTTTTTAGTGCGGCCGTTTCACGGTCCAAAAGTCGTCCAAAAATGATCATGGTGAGAAAACGACCAGTTAACGATCACCGTTTCAATTCACCGTTCAGTGACCAGTTACTGACCGTTTCAAGACTGTTTATTATTCACAAAGAAATTCGCCATTAGCTGGCATTTAACGGCCAGTTAATGGACCGTTTTTCAGTACTTTATGCTAGAGTGATTTTAGAATGATTTTTGAATGTTTCCTGACACACAAATATTAGATGCTTTAAACCGTAAGCAGGTGGTTAACAGCGAGTTAACGGACCGTTGTTAGGCCGTTTTTTTAGTACTTTACGTTAGAGTGATGTTTTGCTACTTCTAGGCTGTTTTTGATCGAAAAAACTTGCTATTGAAGAGCGTGGTAGATGGAACATTTTTTCACATGCACACTCACGGAAAAATCTTTGGAAAATCTCCGACCAGTTTTGAGTCAGATCCAAAATGCGACGAACTCTGTCAAAGTGTGTGACAGTTCACTTGTACGCTTGGGGTAAGTAGAGACACTTCATTGAAATACATTGAGTTTTAATGTACAATTGCTAGTTAATTAAGCTTAAGAGATAATTAGTTCAAAAATTCCTCATTTTATAGCCCAGACCTTCCTCTCTCTACCATAAAGTTTTGAGCTTCATTAGTATTTAAACTCATGAAGCTAATTAGCATAGAATCGACAGAACCAGAAATTCTCTTTTTTTTGGTTTGGGGGTAAATAGAGACACCCGTGTAATTTTTGTGTGGGCGTGTAGAAAAGTGTTCGATCTACCACCGCGTTCAATAGCAAGTTTTTCCGGTCAAAAATGACCAAGAAATAGCAAAAAAAGAACGAAAATTTCGAAATTTGATAATGCTAGTTTTCGATCCGACATATCCATATAGTTACATCGACGGACTGGCAAACACAAGTTCTGATGTTCGAATCTCGATGTTTTCAAGTAAGGAAAAAAATGATAGTGTTGTTTAGGCATGCACCAAACAGATAGTTCGGTGACCGAACGGTTCGCAACCGAACATGGTTTTAGGTTTTGAAAACGGTCCGTTTACGGCACGTTAACTTACCGTTAGTTAACGATGCCGTTTTCTTGGATCTGAGTATACTTCTTCATAAAAGAAACTTAATGCATGACTGAGAAGATCGGACAAATGCAAATAG